CTGAACACATAATTTCATGACAGTGACAGACGTGAAGAAAATGCAAACATGACCCAGATGTTTGCTGTGAGTTTTATTTCACACACAAACAGCAACAGAAAATTACAGACCTTGTGTGCCCCCACTTTTGCAGATTGGAAATGATGCATTATGAATGCTCAAAACATTTGACCGTTTGTTATTTTGATAAGTGCATTAACTATGATACATATACATAATTTGGGAACACTTTACAATAAGGTCTCATTAGTTAACATTAAAAATGAGCAATATGTTTGCTACAGTATTTAATCTTTGGTAATTATACTTAATAAAAATTAGTTTGTGTTAGCTATTTAAGTCTATTAAATACTATTAATAGACAACTTTTGATTTTAAGAATGCATTAGTAAATTTTGAAATTGACTAAGATGAATAAACGCTTTAGAAGTATTTTTCATGTTAATGTAGTTCAATGTAATGTAAAATGTTACCCATCATTTATTCTTATCCTGTGAAAAAAAGTCAAAAAAAGTTTTTGATTAACATTTTTATTTATTAATATTATATATCTATCATTAAATTTAGGTCTATTTTTTCAGCTGATCCCCCCACCCCCCCCAAAGATGCAGGGCTGTTATAAAAGATGAACAGTAAGTATTTGTAACATTTTGTAGGTGACTAGAAATCTTCATTTAATCTAATAAAAAAGCATCATTGAACCACGAACATGCTAAACATGCAAATCGATGAGCTCATCTGAATATCTGCATTAGTTTCTTTAAGATATAATGAGCAGATTTTACAAAATATTACAAACTCTATTGTTTGTTTAACTTTTTCTGTCCTGCCATTTCCATAATATAATTTAAAGAGTGAAAAGTGTGCTAATAAAGCTGAAACTACTGTCGCTGCTGACGAGGGAAACAATTTAAAGATGTCATTTCAGCCCATTGCTCTGCTTTATAGCCTTTCCATTTCAACAATCCACACAAACCTTCTGTGATTGTCACTTAAATTAAGTCTCACTTTTCATCTATTTATTGATAGCTTTATAACCATAAAATTATTGATAAAAGAGCCATAGTGATAATGACAAATGCGACATTTTCTATTCATTCAAACATTCACTCAATCAACAGAGCTGTGCATTCATAAACCTCACAAGCGAGCGTTTTCACTCACATTTTACAATCCCGAAACGGCCAAAGATAACAGGCCGGACTGACGTGATTTTGCTAAACAACAGCAATTGGTGTCAGCAGCACTGGTGACTGATAGGCCTGTACTGAAGTTCATTTATTTACACCGTTGCTAATCTCATTAGTGTGTTTCTTTCCTTCGAGGTCTTTCATTAGGCTGCTGAAAGTTAATTAATGACTCACTCCCACACGGCTCGCAAAAGGCATTTTCTTACTTCTCGGAATAACAAATACAAAGGATCCGCTTCATTATGAACGAATGCTCTCGCAAAACACTTTCCACCTCCACTTTCACAAAATGACTCCTCGTGCACCTTGAGCAGGTTTAACTAAGTCGAAATTTACTGCTAACCTGCCGTTGCACAAATTCAGACTTTCTTCAGAATTTCTTAATGCATGCCGAACAAAGGATGAGGCATTCAAAACCTTTTTGCAAACATTTAATTCCATCTTTACTTTCTTTAATTTCCATCCAGCTATTTTTTCTAGACACCTGACTGTGTTTTCTTTTACACAGCTCAGAATATTTTAAGTGGGAGGAAAAGTCATGCATTCATGCCTTGAACTGAGATTCAGTGCCAAAAGGAAACACGTTTCTAAGCTAAATACACTATATGTAAGATGCACCACAGCTAAAGGCTCCCCTTAAAGCAAAATATAATGATCTCAGAGTACGAGAATTTTTTTGTTGTTGCCACAAACACAAAGAACATTGTTTATATAAGAATAAGAGGTTTTAAGTCAAAAATCATGTTGATGTAGAAAGCAAGGGAGGTCTTAAAGGGTTAGTTCACCCAAAAATGAAAATTCTGTCATTACTAAGAATAAGAGGTTTTAAGTCAAAAATCATGTTGATGTAGAAAGCAAGGGAGGTCTTAAAGGGTTAGTTCAACCAAAAATGAAAATTCTGTCATTAATTACTCACCCTCGTGTTGTTCCAAACCCATAAGACCTTCGTTCATCTTCGGAACACAATTTAAGATATTTTTGATGAAATCTGAGGGCTCTCTGACCCTCCCATAGACAGCAAGGTAACTACCACATTCAAGGTCCAGATAAGTAACAAGATGATTGACAAAGTAGTCCGTGTGACATCAGTGGTTCAACTGTAAAGTTTAGCGCAAAGAAAACAAAAATAACGACTTTATCCCACATCTTCACTTGTGGACGCGCGTTCACGACAGTATCATGACACGAGCGTGTGGCGGCACTGACCCAGATCCGGTGTAATGACGTCATCACGGATCTGGGTCAGCGCCGGCGCCGGCACACGCTCGCGTCATGATACTGTCGTGAACGCGCGTCCTTCGTAACTTTACAGTTGAACCACTGATGTCACACGGACTACTTTGTCGATCATCTTGGTACTTTACTGGACCTTGAATGTGGTAGTTACCTTGCTGTCTATGGGAGGGTCAGAGAGCCATCAGATTTAATCAAAAGTATCTTAAATTGTGTTCCGAAGATGAACGAAGGTCTTACGGGTTTCAAACAACACAAGGGTGAGTAATTAATGACAGAATTTTCATTTTTGGGTGAACTAGCCCTTTAAGAGAGAGGCCTGGATGTCAACATGTTTGCTCACAATACACAGCATTAAACAGTGGAAGGGAGCATCAGATGCTTGATGGCTCGTCTCAAAGTGCATCAGTACTGCCAGTAATGACCGGTCAGCTGAGCACTGACCCATGGACACGGACAGAAACACCCATACAAATGTGAAACTGGAAGGTGAAACTTTCCCTGGCTTACCATTCATTTAACTGACACCGCCTAGATGAGCACCGGCGAGTCGATCTTTCTCAACAGATTACACTGAATTATCGGAAACGTTGGCAATTAATGTGCAGGTTGTTTCCTGGCAACCATCTCTTAAGGCTGGAGCACATCAGACAGTGATAATCTGGAAAGGCCAGAGGTGGCTGAAATTATTAACACAATCAGCGTCGCATGCTAATGCATGCCGTGAGGCCAAGATTTGATGGGCTCGACAAGTTCCTCAAAAACCATTTCCATAAACAGAATCGAATGGAAGCATGTTTATTGCCCGCTATTGTGTATTTTTGTGCGATGATGCCCTCTGGTGCACGCTTGTTTTTATTGCTCATTTACAACAATGTGGTTTGAAAATGTTTTAGGCTTGAAGGTGGAATACCATCCAAAACAGCTATTTTTAAAGTCTCTGTATTAGAAACAGCAGATGGCCTTGTTTTGAATGACTGAACAATATTGCTTTTGGTGGCATCCTTAATGATTCAACAAAAAAAAAAAATGTCAACATATTTACTTTGATTCAAACCTGACTTTCAAGCTACAAAAAATAGATGGGAAAACACAATAATAGAGACCATTAACTTACACTACATATCAATTCTTCTGAAGTCATATGATAGAAGAAATATGAAAATAATATTATAATTTCTGTTCCTCATAGAAAGCGTTGTTATGACTTTAAAAGATATAGCACACAACTGTATGTAATACTTTTATGCCATCTTTTGGTCTTTTTTTAGGTTTAAATGTCCTGGTTTGCTTGTATTGTCTGGGAAAGACTCCTCCTTTAATAAGAGCTCAAAAGAATATCTCCATTTGCGTTCCTCAAGAAAGAAAATCATACAGGTTTGGATGGACATGAGAGTAAATAAATGATGACAGGTTTCAGTGACACTAGCTTTAGAAACCTAAAGCGTTCTAGGTTCCTAGAAAGTACCTTTCTCGGATGCAATGGCCTCACCTGCTGTAACAATACACAACAAGAAACCGCACACGGAGAATGTGACATAAAATAATACTGTGATAATTCTGTACTCACTGTTTTTTAATTGCCTTGAGAATGTCCCTTCACTCCAGGTCACTTTCAGACTGCCTGTCCTGTATTAGAGGTTGCTTTGGGCAAGAAAACTTCTGCTAAATGACAAACAACCTTTTTAAAATGAAAAACTAATTTAAAAAAAATATTGTACCAAATGCATATTTCACAGACATATACATAGTATGCATAATATACAAGTATATACATTCAGCAGGGTTCAAACGTTCCAAGAACACTTTTAAATTTCTGTTTTGCATTTAATTATATTAATACAATTGGTTTCCATTATTTAAACGTATTGGTTCAAGACCACTAGTAAAAATGCTTGTTTTGCATTTTCTATTTTAATACAATTAGTTTTTAATCACAAAATAATATTTGCTATTATGCAAATTATATAAATGTGACCCTGGAGCACAAGACCAGTCTCAAGTTGCTGGGGTATATTTGTAGCAATAGCCAAAAAAGCATTGCATGGGTCAAAATTATAAATTTGTCTTTTATGGGCAAAAATCATTAGGATATTAAGTAAAGATCATGCTCCATGAAGATATTTTGTAAATTTCCTACTGTAAATATATCAAAACGTAATTTCTGATTAGTAATATTCATTGCTAAGAACTTAATTTTGGACAACTGTAAAGGCGATTTTCTCAATATTTAGATTTTTTTTTTTAACCTTCAGATTCCAGATTTTCAAATAGTTGTATACATCAATGGAAAGCTTTCAGATGATGTATAAATCTCAATTTCGGAAAAATTGACCCTTATGACTGGTTTTGTGGTCCAGGGTCACAAATAATATTAAATTCTAGAATTAAATTGAGTGACAAGTCAGACTAAAATATACAAACTTTTTGCATCACACATTTTCAGTGTGGTCTCACTTTTGGCTGCACCATAAATGTATTCAAATTGATGGTAAATTGAGCTCATGTTAATGGGCAAGGCATGTTAAAATTCACTTTCAGCACACACACACACACACCAGCACTGCCTCTGAAAACTCAGTTTCGTCACTTTATTAAATGAGTTTGATTTATTCTGACAAGCTCTCTCCATTCGTCTCTCTCTCTCTCTCTCTCTCAGGACACGATTCCCCTGGGCCAGAACGTTGAGGCAGAAAGTTCCAACAATTAACAAAAAAAAGGTAATAATAACAGACTAACGTTTGTATGGCAGGCTTAAGGCAGAGGCGGGGGTAGTGCAGGATTATAGGAGCAATGAAGGGGAAGAGACTTCCAGGCTGGTCTCAATTCATTTAACAAGCCTTCAAGGACAAGAAAATAAACTTCAAAGCAAATACACATTTAAATATATATATATTTTTTTTTTAATCACATTTTTCTAAGAGTACACATGCATGATGCTGTGGGCTTGATTCACAGATGTCAGATTAAAGAATAAACACATTCCACTGTCTTTGAGGCTTCAAGCCAGATTGGCAGAACCTCCACAAAGCAGCCGATTCACTTCAGAGACCGTCCTTTTCATGAAAAACAGACCGTATGAGCATGCCTTCCAGTGCACCTTTGCACAAATGTGCTCAAGTAAAGAACAAAGCATGACCCTGCTGGACACTGGAATCCCTATTTCTCACAAATCGAGCGCTGAGCTTATGAACTGACATACAGTACGCTGACAAGGGTTACGATTTCACAAAAAAAGTGAAACTTTCAGCCCCAACATTACAGTGCAAAACAATAAATACTGTAAATGACAAACAAAACGGACGTGGAGCTCTTCAGAGCTAAGAGAAGACAGCCCAAGAGAGATGAAGGGAGAGAAAGACATCATGAAAACACAAAAGTGGGACAGTGTCTGTATTTACATCTTACACAGGGCTTAAAAACTGAAGTATATTTACAAACCGGTGGGTGGAGCAAGCCTGGTTAAACCACACCCACTGAACAACATAAAAAGACTAATGAAAAAGAACCGGAGAATAGCATGAGCGTCACAGAAAGTGATCCCTCCAGGGCTTCAGAACAGGGTTTATTGAGAGGCTAACAGATATGTTCTCAAGAAAATAAAAGACATCAGTCATTTTTGGACAGTTTGTGGATCGATGCGGTTGACTCAGACCATTTGACGTTACGATTTTCAACTCGTGTGCGGATTCACAAACATATTCTACAACTGTTCTACCACAAGGTCCTTAGGAGTAGCTTAATTTACCGTAAAGACTGAAATGCTAAAACAGAAAGAAAACGCACTGAAACACTGAATTATGAAGCATGGTTCAGTCTTCAAACCTGACGTCACCTAAAAATGACTTTGAACGGAACAGATGAAGACTTTGTAATCTCACAAGCATAAATTAAGCCTAGACCCAGAGCATCATTAACAGTTGATGATAATTAAATGCCCAGGAATATAAAGTCACTTCAGCTCAGTACAACAATATTAATAGGCTATTGTCTTGCATACCTCTTTCTTTCCCTACTTAATGGTCAACGACAGCGTCAAACCTTTTCTCAACTAGCTTTTCGTTTGCTCCACAGGGAAACGACTGCAGAGGCTTTCTCAAAAGTCCATTCGATTCACCATTTTAAAATAATAAATATATTTGCCAGAAGGTAAAAGCAAGATATTATTCTCATTTTTTAAAATACAATAAAATAACTGTATAAAACCACCACACTTAGTCTCGCCTCTTTTCCTTGACATTTACAACAAGATACATAATTTACCGTGACTGCTTGTTCCCTGCGAAATATATTTTACACCGGATAGGGATCTTGAGAGGGACAAGAGTGTTTCTCCTAAACAAATCAAGGGAAAACATCCACCGATAACTTTGATTTAAATAAATTAAGATACAAATTAAGACAGAGGACCCGCCCCTAGCCACTGAACCAATCATATTTGACCTCCAAAACACACATGGTGTTGCGTTATGGTTGCGCGTGAGCTTTACTACGGGCGTACGCAGCCTTTCGGAGCGCTCTCGAGATTGACTACCTCTATTATCTGAAGCAAATATTAGCAGTATAACTTTTTGTTGTTGTTTGATGCATGTGCATGGCAGTGTGTTGGTGTGTATGTGTGTGTCCAGTATGTTTCTCTGTAGACTGCAAGTTTGTTCAACAGTCAGCAAACATCGGGTTTCCCAGACCGCCGTGCAGAAACTGGTAATTCTGCAACGCGTGACACCTGAATCAGGCGGTAAATGTGTGGATGGGAGGAGCTATAGGGAGGAGAAGCCGTGTATGAGGTAAAGAGTGTGTAAGACTGTGTGTGTGTTTGTCAGAGGGAGAGATGTGCGCTGTGGTGGCTCAGATGCTGTGGTGTGTAAGCTTGATTTTTTTGAGAGACTCAGGTGCTGTTGGTCAGAGTAGATCCGGGCTGTACAGAACCTTCAGAGCCATCTGGCAGATAAAAAAAAAAGAAGATTTGTCAGTTTGATTAGCAAACACAAGGCATAAACACATAAAATGTTATATACACTAGTTTTCAAACGTTTGGGATCAGTAAGATAAGTAAATATAGACAGTAAGGTAGTAAATATACAGTGGGTACGGAAAGTATTCAGACCCCTTTAAATTTTTACTCTTTGTTATATTATATATAAATATTTAATATATAAACATACAATTTTTCTTAAATATACATGCATGTTTTTTATATACATAATAAATATACACAGTACACACTCATATATTATGTAAACAAAAACTTTTATTTTGGATGCGATTAATCGTTTGGCAGGACTAATATATATATATTAGTATTAAATATATATATTTAATACTTGATTTCAGCAAGGATTCATTAAATTGATCAAAAGTGACAGTAAAGACATTTATAATGTTAAAAATATTAAATATTTCTTTTTCAAATAAATGCTGATCTTTTTAACTTTTTAATCAGAAAATCCAGAAACAAATGTATCAAGGTTCCACAAAAATATTAAGCACCACACATTTATAACAATAAAATCAGCATATTAGAATGATTTCTGAAGGATCATGTGACACTGAAGACTGGAGGAATGATGCTGAAAATTCAGCTTTGCATCACAGAAATAAATTTCATTTTAAAATACATTCAAATAGGGGAAAAAAAGTTCTTTTAAATTTTAATAATATATTCACATATTACATTTTTTATGTATTTTGGGTTACATTAATGCATTAATGCAGCGCATAAGATACTTTTTTTCCAAAAAAAACCTTTAAAACACCGGTAGTTTAACAGGAGTTAAATTAATACCTTAATACCACGTTACTACATCAGAAATGTAATTTCAGAAGCAGGGAAAGTTATTGTCCATGAAAGATAATGAGAAGCAGCATTTTTCTAAATGGAATAAATGCACTGATTAATTGTGCACTATAAAGAACAGGAAGGCTTCATTAACATTAAGTTAATATGGTGAGTTTTGATTTAATATTGTCTTAACCCCACCCACTCCCAGAGTAATCAGTGAGAAGGATAACAGCATTACCGTTGGAGGAAGCTACGGTCTGTGCGCGGGCATGAGGTGGAAAGAGAGTGGAATTGAGCTGCGGCTGAATCGTCAGCTCTGAAATAAAGAGAAACACACTCTGTTGACAGACCTCGAAGTGGAACGAACAAAGAAGAAAAATATCAAATGCTCTTTTAAGAACAGAAACGTTTCACACAAACGAGTTGAATGGTAAAAAAAATAACTCAAATAAAATGTGCAAGCACTGCATCACTAAGCAATACCAAAGGGAAAAACAAATCCAAATAAGAAAGAAAAGCAACAGGATATTTTGGAGGGGCTGAGCAAAGTGCAGCTAGTCTCCTCTCAATCGCTTCTGTAGTATTTAAGTTTCTTCCCTGAAGTCCAATTATATTAGTCAAGGTTTCTTGCATCAAACATAGCTGTAATTTAGTTTTACATGACCATTTGCCGCCCTCTCTCTAACCCTTAGAATTAAAGGAATGGTTCATCCATAAATAAATAATCGGTCATAATTTACGCACACTCACGCCTTTCCAAATTTGTATTATTTTATTTCTTATGCAGATCACAAAAAGAGATTTGTACTGGCCGTGCAATTAATTTCCATAGGGAATTAAGCTTTCAAGCTTCAAAAAGGATGTAAAAGTATTATAAAATTATAATAGAGTAGTCTAATGGGCTCCTTCTGAAGTCTTCTGATATTTGACATTTAAATCACTATTCAGTGATAAACATCTTGTGCTGCATTGAAGAACATCATACATGTCATCATGCACACAAACATCATGGTGAGTAAATGATGGCAGATAACTTATCTTTTTACCTTTAAAAGTTTGGGGTCAATAGGATTTTTTAAATGTTTTTGAAAGATGTCTTTTATGCTCATCAAGGCTACACTTTTTTTTACACATCTGTAAAATGGTAATATTGTGAAATATTATTACAATTTAAAATAACTTAAATTTTGAACATACATTTTTTATTTTGAATTAACTAAATTTGTAGCATCAGCATTACTTCAGTCTTCAGTGTCACATGATCCTTCAGAAATCATTCTAACATGCTGATTTTCGGCATGACATTTAATATTTACTTTTTTTTTATTTTACTTTATAACACTTTATTGTCAGACGAGTCTGAAATTTTTCTTGCATGACAGTATCTGTGTTTACAACAATCAACATCCTTTAAACAACAACATGCACTTCATCCACACACAAACAAAACACAATATACATTACACTCCCTTAAACATTACATTATACCTTACCCTCCTACTACACTTCTACAACTACACCATGTTCACATTACTCTTGATTTTTTGATTAAGTGTCTTATTCAGCTCCAGGATCGCCTGATGCACAAAAGAATGTTTCAGCCTAACTTTATTGAATCTTGGGACTCTAAACCTCCGGTTTGATGGTAATAATTCAAACTCATTATGCAGAACATGATTAGGATCAGAAACTATCTTGTTAGCCAGTCCTAGCAAATTATTATAGTAA